TATATATATATATGTAATGTATGTATATATGTATATATCGATTCATGAATTCCACTTATGTGATTTCTCTATTTCTCTTATATATAAAGAAAGTGTTTTGTTTTTCTTTTTTTTCTCTGCGAATATAATCCTGTGTCATGTTCGATCACGAGAGGATTGAGTCTGCTCGGCGCCCTGTCAAAAACGGGCCTCAGCAATTAAAGACTGATCAAGACCTGCATTACACTAAAAACTCTTGTAAGATCACTGCATTAAATATATTTGTACATACCACGTCTAGATGTAACTTTAACAAAGAGAGGAGAAGAAATTTATGCGGAATAAATTATATTTACCTTAGAAACACCCGACCTCTCTTCTTTACGTCAACCATCCGTCTTACGTCATGTCTACCTACGCAATCTCTTCGCCTGCATACACATTTGGATCAACCAGAGACGTAGGAAAGAAGATATTTCACTTCTCATAATTTTAACTATGCAATCGCGATCTAATAATAATTATTTTCTATTTATCATGGAATTACAAGGGGATACGTAATGATCAAGGAAAAAGTAAAGAGACTTGGAGATGCAATTAAAGATTTTTTTTTTTATTACATCAACGTAATACTGGCTAAGGGTCAAAACAATGTCATAGAACGCGTCTATGGTCAGCAGGAGGGACAGCGCCGAGATCAACATGAGCGATTCGCGACGGATGTCTCGTCCTCTTTAAGGAGACGAGATCGTTCTCCCTCCTCGAGAGGGGGAGACAGCCGGCGACTCGCCGACGACAAGAGAGGGAGCATAGTCTAATGATCCCCATATAACTACAGATAAATATCTTATAAGTATAATAAAACTAATCGTACAGAGAGGCAACCAAGTCTCGGAACAAATCAGCCTTAATGAACCCTTCGAAAAGAATCGAGAGAAGTCTTGCTGGGTATGCGAGCCAGCGGCGTTCGCCTCGACGTCGCCGATCACGGCGCGGTTAAGTACTCGTCGCTGCTCCGTCTCCCGTAGAGACGGGACATCCGACGAGAAAAAGGCAATGCACCCGCTGTCTCGCTCGTTCCTCTCGCGAGAGTAGGGGAGAGGATCTCGAACGCGGCTGTCTCCGCAATCACCCCATGATTGTTGCTGATGCTCGGTGTTGTATCAATTGAAAAACCTAACTACACAGAGTCCAAGGGAACTGAGTACCTGGTAAATACCGGACACATATCGTCAATATCGAGTAATTAAGATAAACGCGGTAAGACGCGGGGCAACGCTCCTCCTAGCATATGTGAGGTGTGCGCGGGGCATGGGTGAACTGAATGTGCAGGTTCGGATAGATGCGCGGGTTTAACACTACCGGATAATGTAACGGGGGTAAGCACAACATCTTATGACTTTTGGTATTAGTCGACGAGTACGAGTCGAGCGGGGCAGCCACCGCGGCGACATGCTGCATCCTGACGGTGGATCCTTGCTGTTGCACGGGGATGCCTGCTGCCACAGGGCATCTGCCGGCGGACTGCGAGCTTCCGAGGAAGCTTGATGGTTACTTTTTCTTCTGGGCTTTCTCCGCGGCCTTTGTTACCTTGCCCTGGGTATCTTTGAAAGTGACGCTCTGCGGAGAAACATCGTTAAATTATATACATAACTGAATGAATTTATGTATCTTTTTTTTTTTGGAACAATTAGTATTCTGCAGTCTAAATATTAAATTTGAGGAACAGAAAATTTGATATTATCTTTAAAATAACATGTTTTTCACGGTCTAAATTATTTCGAGATATACAAAGTCAACAAGAAACAGATATCAACAAGAAGCAAAACCAGTTTATATGAATTTAATGAAAATGTTATACAAATATTAAAAATTATGAATGTTACACAAATATAAAATTATGAAAAACAATTTTGTTATGATAATTTGCATAAAGTAAATGTTTTCCGTACGAGCTTGAACAGTTACCAATCACAAGTTTGAAATAAATAGAATGTACAAAAACAATAAGAGAGAGACTTTGATAAATGAGTAGGTATGCTGCTTCACTAATTTTTTTTAAATACATATTTTATATGTATATATTTCAACATGTAGAAACTGAATCTGCTCGGAAAAAAATTATCACTCTTTTCGTTTTTATGTTATTATTTATATTATTTGAAATAGTAATTAATAAAAATTATATAAAATAATATATATTCGATAAGCAAATTCTTAACAACTCTGCTTTATTTTTGCAGGTTACATAAATTATTTCTTGCTTTAGCACTTATACAAATAAAGAATCACTCTTTTATAAATTTATAAATTTTATAAATTTTAATAGAGAATAATCTTCTATCTTATAATTAATGAAATAAATAAAATAATGACGTTTTCAAACCTTGTTCTTGAACGTTATTATAAAAAGCGTGATAAGAGAGCAGATTTATTTTTTTGCCTTTAAATAAATACATGAATGAAAAAAATTGGTAAGATAAGTGCCTCAGTTTAAATATTTATCAAAAATTTGTTATTGCTTTGTCGTAATGAAGCAATTTATCATATATAATAGCAAGAGCAATATAATTGATTGACTCGAAAATATTTTGTTTCGCTGAAAATTTTCCTTTACAAAGATTTCAAGAATTAATTATGATGGGCTTCATTTTAGATATTTAATAAGCAGTTATCTGTTAAGCGAAAGAAATATGTTCTTTCATTGTCAATTCTCTTGTTCCGCATACGATAAGAAATTTTCAATGAAAAGATATTATTCTATTATGATAAAAACAAAAACCAAAAATAGATTCCTAACAGAAATCTTAAGATAACCGAATAATACTAATTTAAAAGAAAAAAATGGAAATTCAAACAAGAAGATACTCTTTAAATTTGAAGTCGCGTTCAGTCCGCTTTTATCTTAAACCTTTCGAAATAATTCCTCGTACCTTAATGACACCCACGGCGACGGTTTGACGCATGTCGCGGACCGCGAAGCGACCCAAGGGCGGAAACTCCTGGAAGGACTCGACGCACATCGGTTTGGTCGGCTGCAACATTACTATTGCAGCATCGCCGCTCTTTATACCTTTTGGATTCTCCTCGGTGGTCTTGCCAGTACGACGATCGCATTTTTCCTTGATTTCAGCAAACTTGCAGGCGATGTGAGCAGTGTGGCAGTCAAGCACTGGCGTGTAGCCATTGCTGATCTGTCCCGGGTGATTCAGAACGATTACTTGGGCGGTGAAGTCGGCGGCACCGCGCGGCGGTTGATTCTTGGAATCGCCAGCGACGTAACCGCGTCTCAATTCCTTCACGGAAATATTCTTCACGTTGAAGCCAACATTGTCACCGGGCAGAGCTTCCGTCAACGCCTCATGATGCATCTCGACGGATTTCACCTCGGTGGTGAGAGCCGCCGGCGCGAAAGTTACCAGCATACCTTAAAATTGTAAATTTATGTTTATAAGAATCTATACATTACTCCGATAAATGTCACAATAAAGATAATTAACTCTCCACTGGCAATGCTGAACTTTAAAAGCATAGTCGATTTTTTTAACTGTGAATTCTGGCAGATAAATTTAA